AGGCTGCCAGTGGTACCAGCCTTTGCATTTGGCTCATTTTGAGGATGATGGCTTCTCTTTCTCTGTGCATAGCCTGTGTGCTGCCTGAAACAAAAGGAAGGAGTGTCAGGGAGTGGGCTTCATATCCATCTGCCCCACCCAGAGACTAGTGGATTGCTTAGAGATGCTTCTTCTTGCCCCAGGCATGACCAGGACTATTTCTTGAAGGTGAGGGTTGAGGTTAAACTACTGATAGCAAAGAGGAGAATTTTAAAAAAGGTCATCCCTATGCTGCTTTACTGTACCCCTTTGTAACATAATAAAACACTATTGTAATACAGCTTAAGAAATCCTCTCATTGAGAAAGTAGGCAGTTCCAAAACTTGCCTTTCCAGTACTCTTCTCATCCTCTGCCCACATAATACTGAAGGCCCAGGCAGAAAGCCCACAAAGAGGGGCTCCATTGTGTTGGGAAGAGCACAGACTCTGGAAGAGGTTTGCCAGGCTCAACAAATAAAAATCCTGAACACTTAGATAAACTTGAATTTCAGATGAACAAGGAATGATTCTTTTTAGTATAAGTATGCCCCATGCAACATTTGGAACACATTTATACTAAAAAAAAAAAAGTGAAAATGTTCTCATTTATTTTAAATTTAAATTTAACTGGGTGTACTGTGTTTTATGTGACAAACCCACTCTTATATCCTTCACCAGGAACAGCCCTACTTGGGAGCCAGGCAGAGCTGATTTCTATCCCAGCCCTGCCAAAGTGTAGCTGTGTGAACTTAGGTCTCAAATCTAAGGAATCGGGTTAACATTAAATCTACCTCGAGATAGGTACGAGGATTAAGGAGGTGAAAAGTATATAATACTGTGTAACTCCTGTGTAAATATTACATATCCTATAACCTGAGGTTTATTGTAGGGCCTGATACCTGCTTCAATTCTAGAAACTTTCATGGAGCCTTAGGTGCTAAGACCAGTCTGTCCAGGGTTAGAGGGTAACAGGAGAGAAGAGTAAGGTTAGGAATCGCAGAGCAAATCTGGACTTGATTCCACTGTTTATGTGATGGGATACATGCAGAATGGAGTCAGTGTGTGAAAGCTGGTGTGGGGGCTGGAGTCACAGCCATGAACCCTCAGGGCCCTCAGGTATGATTTGCCCTAGAACATTAGTCCTGATAGTGCATGCTTCTGAAGGATGTCCCAGAAAATAGCACCCCTGCTTTAAGAATGTCAGTTTAGGGAAGTATTTGGGCACAGCCACCTTAGACAGAAGACCTGGCTTGCTGGATGTGCTTGTTCAGCTAGGGCGAGCCATGCTCCCATGCCAGCCAGGACCCAGCAAGAACCCTGCATGCTGATTCCCTGGCTCCGCCTCTCTGGATTCTTCCCTCAGTGATGACCTGGGAGGTCAATTTGCTCCTGAGGTCAATTTGGAATCACAGGGTTAGCGAAATCTCCATCACGAAAATTCATAAACCACTTTTGACACGTTTGATCAGTCACAGCACTTTCTCCATACACTGAACAAATCCTTGTGTGTGTGTGTGTGTGTGTGTGTTTCAGTTGGGTTTATACCTTTCTTGAAATAATAATGCAAATATGTTGCATATTTTCTTCCATCTTCAATATTAAAATGGCTACACAAAAACTTACCAATTTTGATTTTTTAAACAAAGGCACTCTGAGCCCTGGCTGGCATGGCTTAGTGGATTGAGCGCCAGCCTGCAAACCAAAGGGTCCACGGTTCATTTTCCAGTCAGGGTACATCCCTGGGTTGCAGACCAGGTCCCTAGTAGGGGGCGCATGAGAGGCAACCACACATCAACGTTTCCCTCTCTCCATCTCTTTCCCTCTGTCTAAAAATAAGTAAATAAAATATTTTTAAAAATACAAACTGATATGATAGCTGTCACACTACAGTCTAACAAAATTGTTTCAAATGATGTTAAAAACAACTAAGCTCTACTAGAGCCATCATATGGAAAAAAACAAAGGAAGTTTTTGACCAACCCAGTATTAAATAATACAAAAAATGTTCTTTATTTTGGGCAGCTTTTTCACACTTAAGATCTTTTTGTATCACAGATTTTTGATATATCCTCAATTACCTATACTATTTCGTGCTATGTTACTTTAAATCTACTTACCTTTTAAAACTTAAATCATACATTTAAAAAATTATCAATCTCGAGAATTTGTTTTAATGTGCCAGTTACTTTTTTTCATTACTTTAGAAAAATAAATATATAAATCTATATTTTTAAAAATAATGTTTAAATAATGTTTTCAGAGTACCACCTGTAGTGTCCTTCCTTAAGAGCCCACCAATGAACTCTGAAAGAGCAAACAGCCCAAGCTGGACAGAGGGTCATAGGCAGGCACCTGGAGTTTAGAGATCATAACACATGGAATGCACCTGCCATTTCACTCAACAGCCAAACCAGCCAGACTCTTGCCTAACCCCATCTTGAACTCCACATGACTGTGTCCCTGAGGAGCAGCAACTCTGAATGCTGACTATGGAATGTCTGGAAGATCTCACAGGAAAGTAGCATTGCTTTGGATCTAGATGGGGAACAGAGCTCCCTGGCAAAGAAGAGGAAAGTGAAGTCTTTCAAGCAGAGAGAGTGGGTGGCATAAGCCAAAGCAAAGAGAAGGGTGGTGGACTCTGCCTCCCTGAGTTTGGCTAAGCCTGGGGTTAAAAGGTACAGTCTGATGGCCTCTGGCTCTCAGAGTGTTTGCCTATACAGGGTTTTAAATTAACATAGGTTGCCAACTGAAAAATTGTGGAGATTTTACCTAAAATACAGACCCTTGGCTTTCCTATGTAAGATCCTAATTCCCTACACTTCTCAGCTCCATGTTCCCATAGCACTTAAAGACTTTCCAGCTTCTGTAAATTCTGTGTTTAATTACTTATGTTTAGTGCCATTTTGCTCTCCTAATTAATCCCTCTCTCAATGTAAACTACAGGAGGACAGGGATTTGGGGGGACTTTATGCTTTCTTTACTAAAATATTTCAATATTAACATACATGTCTGGCACATAGTAGGTGCTTAATAAGTATTTTAATAAATGAATAGTGCAGGTGGTGAGCTCTGATGTAGGTCCGGGGATTCCAGGGCACCGCCAGCCAGGAGGCCCTAGCTGCCCTCTGCCCCAGGTCATGCCGGCCTCTCCCAGTGGCTCCCTCAGGCTGAGGAGGTGGGGAGCACATAATTTTGTTGCAAGAAGGAAGCAAGGGAGAGGTTTCAACATTTGCTTTGGCCAGACTGACAGGCAAGGCTCACGCTAGGTTCCCGACTCCATGGTGTGCCCCTAAACCCCGGCCACCGGATTCATCTGGCTGCCCAGGGGTGTGGGGAAAGCCTGAGCCCTGATCCTCTAAGACCCCCGCCAGACAGAAGGCAGGGAGAGGTGGAGGTTTGAGGGGGAGCGGGGGTGGGAGACTTCATCACCAGAGGGCGCCAGAGCCCAGCCGCGGTTCTCTGTCCGGTTGACAGCCGGCCTGGGCTCAGGAGCTCGGAAACGACTGGCTTCAGCTCTCCCTCAAGGAGATGGAAGTCGGGTCCCCGAAGACTGTCTTCTCTGCTGGATTGTTAATTCTTCACGGGCAGGAACCAAGTCAGTGGGGTTCCCAGCTCTATGCTCAGTGCCCAAAAGAGGGCTTGGCCCAGAGTGAATGAATGAAGAATGAGTTCATCTAATATGGCGGGAAAATAGTTTTGGAACTAAAGACACCCATTCCTACGGTCAGAGTCCCGGAGCTCTTGCAGGGTGGCTGCAGGGAGACACCCTCCGGTGAGCCCAGCTGCAGCAGTTGAACCCAGGCCCCATGCGCTGGGACTGCTCCCTCAGTGGCACGGGCTCCTGGACCCCTCAGGGAGAGAGAACTGTTCCCCTTGGACGGACGCAGGGATAGAATCCACCCCACTGTCTGGCTATGAGGGAAAGATGAGGGAAACAAGGCTGGAGCAGCCTGTGGTCACTATGGATGCCCCAAAGGGTGCCCTTCTCACCCCCACGCCTCCCCGGACACCTTCTGCACCCCTTCCCTCTCTACTGTGGCCATTTCAGGGTGTCCAGAGTGGGGCGCGGTAGCCTTCTCTGTGTTCTTCTCTGGACTAGAAACCCCAATGCCAGGGAAGCTGTCAAGGCAGGGGCGGGGACGAAAGAAGGTAAGTTCTTCCTTTAGAACTTTGGGTCCCTCAGGTCATTCACTGGAAAGAGGGAGAAAACACTGAAGTTTACACAATTATTCTTGGATTCCCTTTATCGAGTACTGAGGATTTCTCAGTGCGAAGGCATGTCATTGTCAATTCTCCTAATTTCATTCAGAGAAACTGTGATTAGCCCATTTCTCAGTCGAGAGGACTGCTGAACTTAACTAAAAGCGTCCCTCCTTTTGGTGGCACAGCATCTTATTTAGAGCCTCATCTTTACAGTTGAGGAAACTGAGGCGCAGCTAGTAAGCAATAGCATTGGCTTGGAACTGGAGTTGTCCTGACTGCACACATCTGTCTCATACCCTTTTAGGCGGAGCTTTGGGGCCGCCGTGCAGTGAGCCTGGGCCAGTGGTCACCTCCTTGTCCTAACTCCTAAAACAAGACGCTCTTTGCTACTATAGCTGATGCAGCTGGCCCAGCCAGCCCTCACCCCTAGGCCCAACATTATTTTTCCTTAGTTTTCAGTCAGATCTCGTCTGTGTGACTCTGTGTCTCCATCTAAACAATGTGAACAATAATCAACCCTTCAGGCCGGCCTCATTGCGCGGTTTGGTTCCACACTGCAAGTCAGGCTTACAGAGCCGGGCCCAATGGATCCCGTAAAGGCTAAAGGCCCTAAGTGCACCTCAGCCCCTGGAGCACCCCTGGGGCGGAGGAGGGGTGGTAGGGAGAGGACAGTGGGGAAAGGCTCTTTGGGACCGGACGCCCGAAAGGGCCCCCGGCGGTCGCCGGGATTTGGCTCCAGGACCGCCCCTCGCAGCGAGTCCCACCCCTCCCCGCCCCGCCCCGCTCTGTTCTTTCGCTTCTAAAGCGTCGCGAGCCCTTCCCCAGCGGCCGCACTTTATCTCTTCGCCGCCGCATCAGTTCAGCGTTAGCCTTGGGTCCTCCTGCCGCCGCCCGTCAGTGCCATGGATGCCAAGATCGTCGCCGTGCTGGCCCTCGTGCTGGCTGCGCTCTCCTTCAGCGACGGTGAGTGTGCTTGGAGGCGGAGGCCCGGCAAGCTCCAAGCTCTGAACTCCGGGCTCAGAGCTCCCGATTCCGCGCGGGGCCCCTACTCCTCTGCTCCCGCCCTCGCCGCCTAGAGCGAACTCAATTCTCACTTCTTTGACCATTTCTCAGGGCGCTCTCCCTCGGGGTGCGGCGCTCAAAGTCCCGCGAGAAGCGTCAAGGTACTGAGGCTTTGCACTCCGCACACGAGCTAGAGTTCTGGGACTGTGGAGAAGCCACCAGACCTCCAGCCGGCTGCAGAGGGAGGTCCCGCAGGATAACTGGATGGGCGCACCGAGGGCACGTTGTGAGAGGGCGCGGGGGAGGGGTGTGTGGAACCGAGAGAGGAACCTCGGGTACCTGGCCCTGGCACGTCCATCCCTCAGCTAGTGCCTTCCCTCATCAGGCTCGGTTTCCAGAGGCGGATGGGTTCACGGTGCTGGAGATGCGATCGGCAGCTGATTTAGGGAAGAGCTCTTTGCAAGCCTACTCGAATCGCTTGTGGTGGCTGTGAGATCTGGTGTAGCAGCGTGGTGGCCCCTCCAACCAGAGTCCGGATCTCTGCAGCCACCCAAGCAGGACTCCGCGAGCGGGTGGTATGGAGCAGCTGTTGCGTTTGCGCCACCCACCCGGCCGTGTTTCTACACAGCTCTGAGGTCCGAAGCGACGCTACGAACCCGGGCACGTGTCCAGCCATGGCCTCCCTGTCTCTTCCCGCGGTCCCCCTAGAGAGGCCCTGGGGCCATCAGACTCTCGCATTCCATAGTCCCCAAAACACACCTGCAGATGTGTGCCTTTGTTGCAGGCAAGGGAGCTCGCCACCTCCTATGAGGGCTGCAAGCAAAGTTCAATCGCCAAGACCTTAGGCCATTGTGCAAGGTGGTGTCCAGTTTCACTGGGAGAATGGGAGCTTTTTTCTCTTTTGAAGCTTGAGAGAATCTCCCTGTCCTGTCATAGGATACCACTGCTGCTGCAAACCAAAATAAACTGTTGCAAATAAAAAAAACATGTTAGTCAGGCCATGCAGCCTGTTCTGTTCTTAGCTGTGGAGTTTACAACAAACTCTGCAAAGGGTTGAAGAATTTTCTGAGTGCTTTTGGTACAGCTGAGGTTGTGCAGGGCCCGAGCTCCTGGAGCACTGGGCTAAGCTGAGGGAAAGACCCCCAGCTGCATTCTGGCAGGAGATGGTGGGAAAGCCAGGGTGGGTAAGGTGCGTAGGATAGCAACTGGACCAGGCAGTGGAGCCTGGTTAACAGGGTTCTTGGCTGATCCCTGGGAAGTGTTCTTTAAAAGTGTAGCAAGTTGCTTGTTAGAGCTGCAGAAGGACCAGATTAAATTTTTTTCTCCTGGCTGAAAATGTATTCTAGGCTGTGTCCCCATTCCCCCAGGTCATAGAGGCACTCTGGTGTGGGAATTAGCACTTGAGTGGTCTGGTGAGAGTGGAGGTGTCATCACACACTTCTCTCTGGAGAAATGGTGCTGCCCATAGTTGAAGAAAGGACTGGAATGCAGGAACCCAGGTCCATGAGTCCTGGGTACAGCTGATCTGGGGGGAACATAACACACAGACTCCTACTGACCCTGGAAAGGGTTGGTTGTTTACCTCACTTGACCGCCAAGTGTGAAGGTTAGTGTCCTGGATTCCAGGCTAGTCTGGTTCTTCATGCATGCCTAGGCCAGAATATATTTGTTTTTTTGGTTTGTTTGTTTTGTTTTTGTTTTTAACTCTTGGGGCCTGTGTACCCATGCTGAGCTCCCAAGCTGTACTTCAGAGAGACCATTGTTTAGGCTCAGGCTTAGGACTCTGCCCTCCCTCCGCTGTCTAAGCTCAGCCCAGAAACTTCCAGGGGCTAAACCTAGGGTGGGCCTCATTCCTAGGCCTGGTTGGAGAGTGTGGCTGGCGTCTCTTCATTAGAGTGGAAGGTTCTCTGGTAACTGTTCTGAAATAAAGCCAAGGTAACCAGGTCCCAACCCACAGTAACATCTGGGCTAATCAGTGCCTTTCCTGTATATGGAGTCACATCCACAACAACTGAAAAAGTTAGTAATGTTGACAAAAAGCTATAGAAAAGGACATCAGGTGGACACAGTTCTGAGTTCTCTTGGTAAAGGGCAGTTGGGCTCTGTCACTTTAAAAAAATTACTCTTACCCTGGCTGGGTAGCTTAGTTAGTTAGGGTCTTATAACCCCATACGTCAAGGTTTCAGGTTTGATTTGCGGTCAGGGCACATATGAGAATCAACCAATGAATGCATAAATAAGTGCAACAACAAGATGATTTCTCTCCCCCTGCTTTCTCTTTCTAAAATAAATAAATAACAAAAACCAAAAAGTATATTGAAATTCCCTATTTGATAGACAGGCAACTCGGGCCTAGAAGCAGAAATAGGAATTGCCTTTAAAGGAATGGATAATTTCAGAGGAGGAAGGGGGAAGAGAAGAAAAAGACAAAGCCTGTGTTTCAACTTCAGACTAGGCCTCATTTTCACTGCATGGAGCCAGAACACCTTTTTGGACACTAGAGAGCAGCAGCCCCCACCCATCACAGTGTGCATATTATTGCCTTCCAGCTCTCTGTTGCTGTAAAGCTGGGACCTGTTCTGGCTCACCACTGACCCCAGTCCCTGCTCAGTTCAGGAGCACCCATGAGAATTCTAGGGAAACCTGGGGGCAGGACACTCAGAGGCAAGACCTGGCTCTTTACCCAGGCTGCCTAGCCCCCAGCCCTGGGTTGCTTTCCCAGCTGCCTGGTTACCAGGTAGCACAGATAGGAAATGGCTATACAGTTGCTAAAAGCCAGGCCCAGCAGAGACTTTCTGAGGTTACATCAGGGGTAATGTGAGGGTTGCTTGAATGCTCCTGCACCATGAATCAACTGGAAGCCCTGAATCAAACTTTCTGTTCTCCTGTTTTTAGGGTGTTGAGTTTGGTCCTGGGTGGTTGGGGTGGCCTGGGATATTCTCTCTCCCAGACTTGGTGGTTCAATAGGCTGCTATACCCAGGCCATGCCATTTCTCAACTGAATGCAGTCTTTAGAAAACAAAAAAATAAGAAGTCCCTAATTTGCAAGGTTTCATGCAGCTTCCTGAGCTTCCTTGCCCAAAAGCATAGAACCTCAGAACCACCAGGAGGCCTCTGGGAGTTCTGTAAGCAAGAGCATTAAAAAAAATACAACAACAAAAACCTCTGGACTAAATATTCTCAGACATACATTTAATCCCTGATGAAAGGATCCACAAAGTCAAATAATTTGGGTTATTAAATAGGGTTTGGATAAAATCTGCAGGAAAAACCGTCACAAATCCCAGCCTCCCAGGACTTGCAATTCTAGACTTAAAGAATAAGGGTGGGTTCTTCAAGAGTCCTTTGCTAATTTACACTAATGAGTATCAATTATGGCATTTTGCAAATTGGTAAATTTGCAAACAAAGATGTAATATAACCCAGGAGTCTGTAGGGCCCCTGCACAGGCAATAAAAGCCATATTTGACTCCAGCCCTGATAATCTCCATGCCTTCTGGGAAGTGCTGGAGAGAAAGTGGGCCCTTGTCCTGCCCTCTGGGGACTCCCAGCTAGGAAGCCAGCCCAGATTCTTTTCTGGTTGCCTGGGCTTAAGGTAAATATGAGGCAAGAAGACTGCAGGTGAGGAAGGGCAGTATTCCCTCGAGGTCCCTGGTGGATTCTGGGATGAAGCCTATGAAGGAAGACGGAGGGAGGAGGAAGGAGAGAGAGCTTGGAGCCTCCTTATCACCCCTCCCCCTTTCTCTTTATTTTCTTTTCTTTTTTATTGTTCAAATACATTTGTCTCCATTTTCCCTCCACCGCTTTTCTGCCCAACCCACTCCCACCTCCCATGCTCAACCCTTCCCCACTTTGGCTTTGTCCATGGGTCCTTTATACATGTTCCTTGATTTGACCCTTCCCCTTCTTTTCCCTGTTAACCCTCCCCCCTTTCTAAGTAAGAGAGACTCTTAGTTGGTCCCGGGGATTTAATTTTGGGAAGAAGAACTGGGTACCTCGATACCTTTGACTGAAATAGTTCTTTCCTATGATTAACATCCTTTATCTTAAGAAATCTGAGCAGGCACTTATTTTAATTTTCCACCTTCCCTCCTAGGGTTCATCTCTCCACAGGTCCTTTTGGCCTCTGGCCCCGTAGGAGTTCAGCCTGAGCCCACCAGATCTCACTATGCTACTCAAGGAGAAGGTTTTTTTGCAAGGATGCACCAGTGACTGATTCCATCACTCTCCATCCTTCCATCATTCTACCATTTCCCCACCCTTGGCTGCAGACCCGGATACATGTGTATCTCTGAGGCCTGACAGGATAATAACAAGCTACCTTGTTCTTATTACCTCTTATAGGGAAACCGGTCAGCCTGAGCTATAGATGTCCTTGCCGATTCTTCGAGAGCCACGTTCCTAGAGCCAATGTCAAGCATCTCAAAATCCTCAACACTGCAAACTGTTCCATTCAGATTGTGTAAGTTTGAGAATCATCCTCCAGGAATGTTACGTCTAATGGGCACAGTAATACCTAACTTGTAAAGCTAGAGAAATGACACGTGCCAAGTGTCCAGCCTTGAACTTGGCATAATTAGAGGTAGCTGTTATAACCACAAGGATTTAGAATATACCACCAAGCAGGAGTTTCCAAAGCCACTCTTACTCTTTGGTGTCTTGCTTTGCTTATAGTAGTCTCTGTCTCTTCTTTCCAAGTTTCCTCCCTTCAGCACAGAAAATGGCAGCACACTTGGATGCATTTCCAGACTAGAGAAACACTGGCTTCACCAAAGTTTGCACTCAATTTCAGTAACATCCTTTGCTAGTAGTTCTGTCTGTCCTGCCAGTTTCAGGGCTTTGGTATTATAAATTAATCCTTTTTCACATAGTACAAGATCCAAATTCAACTGAAGTCATCTTTAACCATTATCAGCTCACATAACTGCATTTTCTCAAATATAACACATGAGTTTTTAGTTTTGCTGGTGCTAACATTTGATTTCATTCATATGGAAAATGAAACAAACCAAAATCATACATACATGAGACAGAGATCTGTGGCCTGCAGTGCAGGAGTCTGGACAAGGTATGCAAGGAAGCCACCCATGGCTGTCCATTAGTTGGCCATTCAGTGTTCCTATGTACCTGTGCTGGCACATAGTAAGCATGCTAGTGTGTCTGGACTCCAGGGAGGTGATGCAAGGGGTCTCCTGGGGAGAGCTCACCTCCTGAAAAGTCCCAGTGCTAAAAACAGATGGGGACAAAACAGTTAGAATAAACGCTGCAACTTCCTGAAGACTTTTCTACATAGCACCAACTGTTCTTTATGTTTGATTCTTCTTTGTCTTTTTTCCTACCCTTTGATGCCTTGATGTGCTTGTCATTTACAAATGTTTTAGGGCCCTAGAAGATGAATGCTTTTACTTATTTTGCTTATAATAAAATACTATCTGTCCTTTAAGAGATATTTTATCAGGTATTGAATCTGGCTTATATGTTCTTGCTTTACAGTACAGATTGTGCTGGTTTACTTGCCAAGTAATACACCTTGAAGCCAAATATAATTCTCAGGTCTGGGCATACACAAAATTAATAAACAGTGGTATCCAGATTGGAACTCCTATCTACTTTGCTACAAGCTATATCCCTCTGCACACCTCAAGAAGGCTATGTGAAAACTCCTGTGGGTTTTCTGGAGCCATTTTGCTGGCCTTAGCTATCCTTCTAGACCCTTAAGTGACTGGCCAGAAGTATCCGCAGGCTTCCTGTAGTGCAATAACACAGTGCAATTACCTGGTAATCAGCGCTTTAAGGAGAGGGGTGTTAAGAAAAGTCCAGTCCTTTGCCAGGGGCTTTCAGGTAGAGTGGCCATGGTGGATGTGAGAAGTAGGAAGGAGTTGAGGTATGAACTTTAAAAAAACAAAAAGAGACCCTGAAGATTCACTGAACTTGTGAAACTCCCTGGAAACCGCTATCAGGTGAATAATCTACACTCTGACTTCCCCAACTAGTACTGTCCGGTCACTGCATTCTCGTCCTTCCCAGTACTGCCCCTCCCTCACTTCACTCTTATCTACCACCTGCATTGCCTCTTCCTCATTATACTCTCAACCCACACCTGCACTGCCCCTTGCTCAATGCACTCTCAACTCCCAATTTCAGTGCCCCTCCCTTATTGTACTCTCACCCCTCTCCTGCACTGGCCCTCTCTCACTTCATTGTCACCTGTCTTTAGCCCCCAGATTATTGCAGGACCCTGCCTCTAGGCTTATTTTTCTCTCTGTTTTCCATGTGCTATCAAGGTAATTCGCCAAAATAAAAACCTGCTTCTGTTACTCTAGTTACTATCCTCACAAGTTCCCATAATCTTGCAGATAAAGTCCCACTTTTTTGCCCTTACATCTGGCCACAGGCTTCTTGAGCATTCTGTCTCTTGCTGTTCCTTCACAGACTCCATATTGTTACCCTCTGATATATTTGCACTTGCTTCTTCCTCACCCTTCACTTCTCTTACCCAATTCCTACTTACCCTTCAAATTCCAACTCAAATGATTCCTATAGGAATTCTCTGCCAAGCAGACACCTGGCTCCAGTAAGGATCCTGACACAGGTGTTGAATGAGCAAATGCGCAGGTTATAGCAGTCCTTCCTCCTGTGCAGCTATCACTGTTGCCTCTTCTGTTTTTGCAGGGCAAGGCTGAAGAGCAACAACAGACAAGTGTGTATTGACCCAAAGTTGAAGTGGGTTCAGGAATACCTGGAGAAAGCTCTATACAAGTAAGCACAACAGCCAAAAAGGACTTTCCACTAGAGCCACTGGAGGAAAGCTAAAACTGTGTGAAAGTCCTGAAAGGGCAAAGGTGTGGGGTGAGGAAGGTCTGAATGGAGAGGGCCAGGTATGCTTGTGGGACAGCACATTGACTTGGGAATGGGTGGGAGGTTTGCCCAGGATGTAGACATCTGCATTTATAGCATATGGTACAATACCATAGCTTATATTCATTCATACCTGGGACGCTTGCACATTGGCTGTCTTATAACTCGGTTTTTTTCCTAAGAAATTGTATTATCCCAAAAGTATTTCCCACCAGTCACTTCCCTTATGATCATCACAATCATCTTCATTCTCATTATTCTTTTTTAAATCAGTGATTACTTCGATATCTGTATTCGGTTTGTTTTGGATTTTTCCTCTTCTCTCCTGGGGAGTCTGGGCACAGTCAGGTGATGGTCAAGCATGGAGCTCAGAAAAGTGTCTTTCCTCCAGAAGCTGGGGTATAAAGGAAGACTATTGGGTGGCTCCTGCAGGGCACACCTCTCCTGGAGTAAAGGTCCAGGGTAGCTCTCAGATGCTGACCATACTATGCAACTGCCACTAGCTGTACCTCCTCTTTCAAGCTCAGAGAATGGACCTGTGGGCTCCATGTAGAATCCACCATCACTGGGGACTGTGCTCAGAGACCCTCTCCCAGTCATTGACAGACTCTCCCTGCCTGCAAGAGCATGCTTTCATCTCGCTTCTCCTTCTCATTTCTTTATGTGCTCAGGGGAGGAGGGTGGTCATTGGAGTTCCAGCCCTGCCGCCCCCTCCTCCCTCTGCCCTCCCTCCTGCTCAGGCCCATTGTGAGAATCTGCTCTGGTCTCCTCCAGAATGGGGCTGGCCTTCTCCTGGGTCATGGGAGACCATGTCTCCACCTTCCCATGAGAGACAAATCTTTTCAAAATCAAATGCAATTTCAATCTGAGAGCTTTCATTGAAGAATTTGGTTCCTTTGATTGCCTCTGAAGCATCTGTGTGCCACGGAGGCTCTACAAATGCTAAGTAAGTTTTCTGAAATCTGAGGTGAAAAATTAAGTGAATAAATTAGATTCATGCCACTAACTTCGGCTCCTGAAGCCACAATAGTTACAGTCAGAAATGTTGGCAAGGTGAAATGTCCATGCATAAATGTGATCCACAGATGGGCCTGTTGGTATGTGTAACTTTTTGCAAGGCATTTTTTATATATTTTTGTGCACAAATTTTTAAACATTTCTTTATAAACAAATGTATCTCAGAATATATTTATAGTCAAACAATTCATACATTTGAAGTGGAGCCTTATGAATGTCAGTAGATACAATTCTCTATTATCTTAACTACTGGCAATTTGTAAAGAAATACATAGAAATGTGATTGAAGCTTTTTAATGTTGGCCACAGTGTATTTTTTCACTTGTACTAAAATTGTATCAAATGTGACATTATATGCACTAGCAATAAAATGCTAATTGTTTCATGGTATAAATGTCCTACTGTATGTGGGAATTTATTTACTTGAAATAAAATCCATTAGTTGTTAGATGCGGAGCTCTTACACATTTCCCAAGTTTGTGAAGATAAGCTGGCCTGGTGGTCAGGTGCCTTAGATCCGTCCTGCCAAGTTCTCATGTGAATAATAGCACATGGGCCTTGCTCAGGAGTAAATCTGCAACTCAAGTTTTTGCGTGTTTTTTTTTTAAAGCCAGTGAAAGCATCAGTGCTAGTTTTCTGAAGAATAATATTTGACTCACTAATTCCTCTTCCCCTTCCTTTTCCTTGGTTCTCCTAACAACCCCATGTAATCTCTAGAGACTCAACCCTTATAATATAAATCTCTCACATTTTCCCATGTAAAAATCCCATAATTCCAGCCGATGGTTAATATCAAGCTTTCTCAGGAACAAGTGACCTTATCCCATAAATCATTAAATACCATTCAGCTTAAATCATTTTAATGTGACAGTCATGAGCCAGTTGCTGTAATAAAATTCTGCTAACCAGCCTTCTCCCTCATTCTTCTGAACAATTTTAGTCATTCCCAGGGTGTCTCCACAGGCATCCAGAAAGGAGAGATGAAGCTGCCTTATTTCTCCTCTTCTGGACGGCCTTCTGAACTTTGACTCCTGCCTCCAATTTACAATGCACAGATTTTTTAGATGAAAAAGAGTTCAGCTCTGCACTCTTTTACTGAGAAAAAAGGAAGCCTGGGAGAGCAGGTGGGGTGAAATAGAAGATCAAGTCCAGCCTGGCTCTGGTTTGCCTTCATACCCTTTTAGATGAGAATGGGAGCCAGGGTCAAGTTGGCAAATTGGTGATTGCTGTAATCAGCTCACATGTGTTGTGGAAGCCTAACATTTTTTGAATCAAGACAAATGTCTAATTTTAATGAGGTACTGATGGACAGTGCTTTGCCCAAGGGCCTTTAGACCTGAGTCTGAAGACAGAGTGAAACCAATACATGGGCCAGTGTTAAATATTGTGTAGACTGAGACAGACTCTTGTTTATCTCAACATTATTAATGGTTCTACTAATTTTATCAAAGGGGGCGCAGAGAAGAAAAAGTGGGGAAAAAAGAAAAGATAGGAAAAAAGAAGCGACAGAAGAAGAGAAAGGCTGCTCAGAAAAGGAAAATCTAGTTATCTACCACCTCGAGATGGACTGCAGTACACTCTGTTCTTGTCTTTCCCAGTGCTTTGTAAATTTGCTCTAACCCTTCTGCAGAGCAGACCCGCTGTCTCCTGGGTAACCTCTCAGACTCGGAGGGGGAGCAGCACTTTGCCTCTCCTATGGCCACACTGGTTCCTGTATTTATATGTTCATTAAGGTCCTTCCTGGTCTGCTAAATTATGAAGTAGTTGTAGAGAGACTGGGGTTCAGGTCTGGAACATGGAGACTCTGTGCTCAGGATTCTATGTAGAACAGCTCAAGACTCTCAAGACTCTAGAATGACCCAGGATTCTGTCTAGAGTGACCTGGGTCTCCATTATCTCCCCAAATTTCTGAGTCTCCCACCCTGCCCTTCACTCAGTCTCTTAGAAGACCCATGATTACTCTGGAGCTCACCCAGATCCGCACACTTGGAATCTGCCTTCCTGTCTCAGACCAGCATATGACTGCCCAGCATTCCCTATCCACACACACACACAAAGCCATCAGCAAGCCCAGCAGTGGAGCCTCTGCCAGCAGAGGGTGCAATGCCTTATATCCTCTCATTTGCTGCCCCTTGTGCCACCCATCTACGCCTTCTTGGGGAAGAGCTGGCTGTGGCCATTGCATTTGAAGGTGGTAACTGACTCCCTTTTCCAAGTCCTGTTGCCAGCCCTCCACCTCTCTGCTGCCTGGGGTGGGACTTCTCCAAACAACCCTCTCCCTAGGCCTGGAGCTGTGTGAATAGCTTTACCTCCAAGTAGGTAGGCTTCTGCAGACCATGCCAGGAGAGCAGGTGTGAGCTCTGCATTCCCAGAGAGCAGATGTGGAAGTGCTTCTCAGGGAGCCTCTTCACAGGGTAATTCATTTTGTAGATTGTTTACACGGGTCCCAACGATGTGGAGGAACTCTGCAAAGGCCTTGCTGCTCTGGGACTTCTAGCCTATCCCTCCCCCTCCTTCTGGAAGAACCTTCATGACCCTGTGCAATTATTTGCAGGACACTGCTGCCTCTCACTCATTGGAAATACCTGCTTAAAGTGACAAGGTTTAAATTCTAGAAGTTTCTCACTGCCCTCCCTACAGAATTATGTCTGAGATTTCTGGGCAAGTCTCATTTAGTCAGGAAGAAGGGGATCACGGGGAAGAGCAAGGCCTGATGTTGGTAGTGCTTTGAAAAGGGGTTACCTTGCAGATCTACTCTTCTCCCTATTCACCAGAACATATAAATGCAAACCCTCCACCCTGGGCCCCGGTCATAATTTTAGTACATGGATCCAGAAAGATGAAGTGGATGGAGGACATGGAAGACGGATTTCAGGAGAAGGGAACTCAAGGTCCTTGTGTGTCAGACTCACCTGTGTCACACAGTGCTGTGTCCCTCTCCTGCTCTAATGTGCTCCTTTGGGGCTACAGCACAGAGCATCACAACATTCCTTTTTACCCACTGGAGTACTGTCCTGTTAGAGCCCTGCAGCCAGAGACCTTTGTTTCCACGGTCATCCCTTTTAGCTGGCTAACTCTCCCAGCCTGGGCCCGTTTTCAGCACTGAGGCCAGCAGGCCTGCTCTGAGTGAGCAGGGGCTTACTTCAGTGATCTTTACCCCCTGCCTCTCTGGATGTTAACTGGAAGGCATCTGGATGTTAACTGGATGGCCCAGGGCTGCAGTCCTTCCTGGTGAAGCAGCAGCATGCCTGGTCTGTGGGAACCTGGCTGGGCTATTCTTAACTCTTAAAAATGCACCACTGAGAAGGTCAGACCCTATGCCCCTGTGCCGTCCTTCACTCGGTATGTACACTGTGGGAGCAGCCATCCTCTGTGCCTAGAGAGGTGGCAGTTCCCTCCTCTTCACCATGGAGAACTGGCTGCCCTCCAGCAGTAGTGGGTCAAGCTATTGCTGACCTAAGGCGACAAACTACTTTCTGCAGTTCTCAGGAGGACAGTATCTCCCACATATCCTGGGGCATTGAGGGCTGTGGGGACTAAGAGAGCTGGCCTTGGGCTTCACTGTCTGACAAGCAGGCATAACCCCAGCTCCACTGAAGTGTCCTGGGTCACTGGGGAAGAGCCTGACCTTAATGCTGTTGTGGGTTGATATAGGGCAGTGTTCACATGTTTGCACCAGGTGAATGGTGTGTGAGGCCATCCCCGCATCAGCCCCAGGGCCACTCTGGCTGGTCCACTGAGAGGCCCTGAGGCAACCGGGGGGGGGGAATGGAAACAGTCAGTGGTGCCAAGGCCCTGACTGAGCCGGCAGCCTGAGCTAGGCCCTGTGAAGCCAGGCCTAACATCTGCACTGGGCGAAGGCAGTGTGCTCCGTCCTGTCATGTGACCACTGTGCCAGGCTGACTCCGTGCCCTCCTTCATCTGCCATGACCCATGCTTACTGCACCAGTCTGTCCTCTCCATTTCCCACCTTCCATCCATATCCCTGTGCTGCTTTGGCCATGCTGTTTCTCTCGCTCCCCTCCCCTACCCAGGGCTTCAGAAAGGAGATGCATCACCCTGGCAATTTGGAATTCAGAAGTGAGGAGTGGGGCCCTGCTGGAGTAAGCTTGGAATCTCAGTGTGAGGCCTGGCCACTGTAGGAACCCGCCTTAATAGTGTCTCCCTCTCTTCTTGTTAACAGGAGGTTCAAGATGTGAGAGGCGCAGGTTGGGTCAGACGCCTGAGGAAGCCTTACTGTAGGATGCCAGGTCTAAAGCCAGTGTTAGGAAGGGCCCCTTGTGGTTTCCTTGAGCAGTCCAGACAGGACGGAATGCGTTTCCCAGGGCCTTGTTTTGCACAATTTGCCTTACTTTCACCATTTGACTATATAGCAAAATATATTCTGGGTTTTTTTGTTTTTGTTTTTGTTTTTTTTTTTTTTTTCATTTAGCTTGATTATCCAATGTCACTGGTGACAGATAGGAACTTAGAATAAAATTATTTTACTTGCTTTATTATAATATCTTTACAATGAAGCCCCTGGTCTGACTAGGGGTTCCTGAGTTTTATATTCCTCTGAGCTACACAGGCTGGGACCCCAGACTGAGGGAGTCTTGCCTGCATTATCATGTCCTGGGATGGGGAGCCACCAGGAGGTGTCAGGACCAGTCAGCATGGGCAAACCCTAGTGAAGGCAGCCCTGTGCCACAAGGGGTCAGGGAAGATTACGGTCTAGAGGGCCAGGCAGAAGGTTCATCCCTCATCCAAGCGAGCATCCTGGGGCTTCACTGAGCTGGGGCAGGTAGGAGTACAAGGCCAGGGTAGGGCCTCATCCTGAGCTCTCCTCTACATCTCATCGCGTTCTTCTCATCATCCTCTCTCTCATCCATCATCATGTGCATCTGAGACTGTCTCCATGACCTCGGAAAAGGACTCTCTCAAGACTAAAGCTTTAATTTAAACTGCGCACCAAGAAGCAAACCAAAATGTATTCCGTTACCAGGTCCAGGAAACACTGTGCATCACTGTGTCTAGTTTGAAATATTGTCTGTTGTCCAATCCTGTTTTCTGTTCAAAGCCATTGTTGTTGGTGCTTCATTGTCAGTTTCTCATATGCAGAGGCTGAGAGTGAAGAGGTGCCCCTTGGGCCTTTGTCCTGGCCCCTGATTAGGGCTGTGGTCATTTGGGATGGATAACCTTGTTTTCCCTACAAATCACAAAACTGTGGTGGATTCACAGAGCCCAAGGGAATTCAGTTTGCAGCAGCATTGACCTCTGAGGACACTGACCCTCAAAATTTCCATAGATGTAGATATCTCAGAACTATAGAGAGTTTTGTCTTTATAGTGTTAAACTCAGCACTGTTTGGGGACTAACAGGAATAACAAGAAAATAATTCTTAACTTCTTTTTAGTTTTGAAAACATAATCCATAAAATAATTAGTCCTGGGTATTTTCCTGTTTAAAATCTAACCTCGTCTTTATCACCATTTGGCAATCCCACCATCTCTTACCTTGTACGGTGGCCCCTGGACCTTCTCTGCTGCTGCTGTTACCTTGTGCTTCCAGGATGTCCAGCAGGGAATTACTCTTGGAAAATGATGGGACATGGAAAAGTTGGTTAAGAACCCAGATATTTGGGATATTTCCCTTTACTGAAGGCAGTTTGCAGAGTTAAACAATTTAAAATTTTTGCTTTTGAAAAAGGCACTAAGGATTTTTTTGCTTGTTTTGTTTTTTATTTGGTCTCACTAATACTTATCCCCTTTGATTAAAGATCCAGTTGTTTTTTTTTTAATTAAGAAAGTGGAAAAAACAGAAGGGCAAAACAAGGAAATGTATCCATTGGCAGAACACTGCTAATAACATGCAGAAAGTGTATTGTAGTAAAACAATCTTGAATTGTAGGTGTTTTTAGATTTAATGATCTTTGGGTTATCAGTAACACATGTTAGACATTTCCATAGTATTTCTTAAATTGAATCTTCATAGTGATAAACCCTTCTGTCAACCATATATTCAACCAGCTATGCTATATTGAAAAAAATAAAGTACAGAGGACTTTCATTAGTTATAAGGGATGCAGAACTGGTTTCAAAACACTTTTTTAAAATTAGCCTGTCACTACATGGCTCCTGAATTATACATGAAACTATTGAATCTTTGATGGAAGTGTCATTTCCAGGTAATCCAAGATAGTAAAAAATCTCATGGAAAATTTGGAAGCATCTTCCCCTGGAATCCAGGAACCAGAACCATTAAATCTGTTTTACGCTGAGGAAATGAGCATGCCTTTAAATCTTGACTACAGTTAAATAAAGAATCATTTGTTTCTTCCATATAGGAGGAAAAATAAGTAAGAGTAGAAACTGCAGGGAAAATTACTTATATAACAACAATTATTTTATGTGCAGTCAGCTCCTAAAAGGAGACTGACCTTCCAGCTAAGGCAGATATGCATTTAAATAGTTAATTTGCAAATAAAAAGGCTTTGCCTGTTGTTTTCAAAATATAAGTCAAGTATGTCAAGTGATTAGGTGTCACCCAGCTATTCCTCCTGGTCCAGTGCTGCCACTACCTGACCTTCCCTTGGGCTCAGTGTAACCTCCAACACAGTCCTTTGCTACCAGCCTTTGTATCACATGAGGGTGGACTGGGGGATTGGAACTCACAGGTGTGCTGTGTGTTAGAATCTGAATCTTTGCCCTGTGTTGTTTGTACTGTTCTTTGTCCTGCTCTGGCCAGATGCTGAGACCCCAGCGAGGAGGCTCAGGAGGGGCCCTCTGCTCAGGAGGGGCCTTCTGCTTGTTCGAGCAGAGGGTCTGCATAGCAAAAGACTGCAGTGCCCCTGTGTGAGTCCAGAGGGGGATTTGATTTCACCTTACTTTTCTGAAATACTGCTTGATGTGATCACCATGAGCTCCCTCACTGGGACTTCATCACCTTTCTCAGGTATCGTACCCTCTGAAGCTAGATGAAAATCATCGTGGGGTACTGATTCCTCTACACCTCTCCCCTGACCCATTCTGAGGGAACCCTAACCCTGGGAACCATTCCCAAGGAACATCCATGTCCTCTCAGCAGACATAGCCAAGCTGAAAATCCCCACAGGAAACTTGTTATTCCCCAACTTCGCTGGACTCTCAGTCTCTGAGCAGTGATGGGTTCAGTGTTAAATGTGATAAATACTGTACTTTGTATTGTTTAAAATGCATCTCCCAGATAATGTGAAATTAGTCCAGAAGAAGGCAGCTTCCTGTATGCAGTGTGCTTTTTTTTAACAAGTAACTATTTCTTTTGAGAAACAGTTTCTACTTTCATATCAATGAAAAAATGTATATGCACTTATAATTGTTCTAATAAAGACATGTATTCAAATGTAGCAACCAATAGATTGAAATTAGTATTAGCATTTGGAATTTTCAAGACTTGTTTTTCTCCCTCCTATCACAGAGAGGTATGTAACTCTAGCTTCCATGCTTAGTGGAAAACAGGCCATTGTCATGCTAAACATGAGCGAGAATTCTGGGGCCACAGCTGCCTCTCCTAGTTCACTGATCCTGAGCTGGGAAAAACATACCCTTTTTTCCAGATGTCCTTGATTTTGCTGGAATTCCTTCTTAAAGACCAGACAGCCCTCTGCTTCAAAAAGGATGGTTTTGTGCAAGGGCTTAGGTGTTTGCCCTACAGCTGTTGGGAAGGAGACCTCCACTCTGTACTTGTCAGGCTTAGTGGAAGGCAAACAGATACCCTGTTGCTGAAAGTAGTGCTGAGGATCCAGCACCTTGTGCCCTTCTGTCCTGCACAAGGGCCTTTCTGAAAGCCAAGCACTAATTCTCTCAACTGCTATCCCTCAGCACTATCCTGGACACTGAACAGGTGTGAACTGGACAAACAGATGTCAACCCTTTCATACTTTCTACCACATTCTTTCTGGTACACAGTCAACCAGTCTGGAAAGGAGTGTGAACTCACCACAACTGTCTGAGTCCAGGTAGCTCTGTTATACAGAGTCTCTTTCCCACAGGCTCAAATGTGACCAGATTACCACTGTGCCCAGAAGCTCACTGTTATGTATAGGGTGACCACAGTGTGGTTGCTGAGCTGAAGATGGGCTGAAGGAAGAGAGAAAGGTTAGAAGGGGCTATAGTGAGAGCCATCGTGGTGTCCTGAGATAAGGGTGGTTGTGAAGATTAGGAGACCAGTGCTTAAATTCTTATCTCTGCTCACTGTGGGATTTGAGACACTTCCGTTGTCCTGAGTCTCAGTCTTCCCAACTACAACTTTAATGCTTAGCATCATGAGGAGATGTGAGGATTAGACTGGAAGAGTATACCAAGGAGTCATTTGTCTCCCTCTCAACCTGCTGTTCCCTACAGTCCATAGAGCTGGAATCAGTTCACGCCTGCCTCTACTTAGACCTACAGCTAAGCTCAGATACCACCTGGAGCTGCAAGTGATTCCCTATGAGCTTATCACTCTCAGCTGACAGCTGGGAAGAAACCTCCTGGTTGGGGTCTCATACGTTCCTTCAGTGCCTGGGTGTGCTGGTTCCACATTCTTTACCATTATCTAACTCTAGGAATTACCAGTCTCTGGGAAAATTTTTCAGTGTGATATTGACTCTTCACGATGATGTTGCATTTAAAAAAAAAAAAAAAAGCCATGGTCTTCCATGCTCCACAAGGCTCAAGGCTGCTGGCCCTCATTAGTCAGCTGCTGTCTGTGATGACAGACCTGGACTAGGTGGCGTGGGCAGTTTTCTCCCTGATTTCACAGAACTGCAGTCTGCAGGGACTGCCTTACAATTAATTGAACATTTTCCTAAAGCATAATAAGTGTAGGACGTGTGTCGAGAAATCTAGAATACCATCAAGAGTTCCTAAAGGAAGCACTGATGAAGCCAAGACCTGAGAAAAGTAGATTCTTTGGTGGTGATCTGACCCTCAAGGACTGCCATTGAGAACCCGTGTGGGGTCCCGCTCTGCGTTAGAAGCAGGAAAGTCCTCTGCCTGGGAGAGGTGCAGCTCACATAGGGAGCCCAGTATGAGGACATAGAAGGCTGGATTTCAGCCCCTCATTCCCCTTGGTGCACCCTGTGTAAGGGACAAACCTTACAACCACGCCTGAAAGGGCTAGAACATCCTAGGAATGGGGTCCTGAGAGCTGGGAGGCACCATGAGGGAGGTTCTAGACACAACTGATTGGATGGTGGAGACACCTGGCTCAGGCTGGCCAGTGCGGTTTTCCAGCCCAGGAGACAGAGCTGGGATTTGGACTGCTTCAGGTCCTCAAGCTTTTTCTACTTATGGCTGAGAACATTATACATGGGAGTGTGGGGAGCAGGAGACAGAGGAGCAGAAGGAGCAACAACTGCATGAAATGGATTCAGAGAGAGAAATGATGAGAGACTGATTAGCTCCAGAGGGAGGTGAGATGTGGCTGCCCGCAGGTTAGGAGTGGCTCAGAAGGTCCCTTGTGTTGTCCAGTTGTACATCTTTCTCTTGGGGTCTGTGTATTCTAAGTAAATTCTGCTTCAGAGCCAAAATAAGGATTTCTGCTAATTGGATCCAAATAACCATCACTAGGGGCAATTAGGCAGGCAGAATGGGCAAGGTAGGTAGAATGGGCAAGGCAGGTAGGGCACAAATAGGCTGTGGGCTAGTGCACATAATTATGTTGGAGACTTCCTACCCACCCTTTCCTCTGCCCAACCTCCTCAGGTTGTTTTCTGGGTCTGTTATCTTGGTTTCAGTTAAACTCCAAAGAAAGACTATTCAGACCTGTGCCTGCCAACCTGTTAGGATTTATAAATGATTCAGAGGCATCCCTTAAGACCCCTTCCCCATAAAAAGTACACATATTCAGTTTAGGGCCTAAATGCTCTTCCCTCTTTGAAGGCACACACCAGCACCAACACAATTTGCCCAATATCATTTGTGAGATGGCTGCACCATAGTCAGCCTGTGGAGAGCTCCAGCCCAGCTTCAGGTATGCAGAGGGATGATGTGGGTTTGCCCCACAGCCTGTGCATCCCATGAGAGAAACAAAGTGGGACAATGAAGTCGTATATACATCCATCCTTGGGGTACCCCCTGCCAGGCTGTAAACTGTCTTATTGGGGGTGGGGGAGTTTTGTCCCCAATGCCTTGAAGAATGTTTGTCTTAGTGGCTGCTTAATAAACATTCAACCAGCAAATTGATGTCTTCAGGTTGAGAAACATCAGCAGGCCCTAGGGTGGTTGCACTGGGCAAGTCGCAGCCAAACCTTGATGTTCCTACCTGACACTGGAGCTACTCAAATTTCAAAAAGGTCACTGCTAATTTTTCAGGAGCTAATATTTTAGAGCAAATGAGTTGCATCTAACTCTTGGCCCATGAAACTGAACAGAAATGAAACAGAATGAAGTCCCAGATGAAGCATCTTATACTCTGGGAGGGAGACAGTAAATTGGCAAGATATACTTATGGACTGGGGGTCGGGGGAGGGCTGAATGGGAGGAGCCGTGGACTTGCAGTGAAAGTAATTGCTCACTGCTGTACCATCTATCCCCGATTAAATCCAACTCAGTCACCCTTCTGCACTTCCACAGCTGATGAGAGCTCAGAAAAAAATGCATGTTTGCTCTCTAGTCTCTGAATTCATGACAGTTACTCAGTGCTCCCTGGATACTATCACATGTCCCCGTCCCATTTGCTCCTCTTTCTTTTAGGTGTTCATTCCACACTTTCCCCTCTTTTTAAATCTTTTATCTTCTTCTGCACTCTCAGCTGATGGTCTGTCTTCAATGTCTGAATAAAAGGGAGCAATAAGAAGAAGGGGATTTCCCTGGACTTCACTTCTCATCCACCACCTAACAAATCTGTACCCACTGTCTCTACTGTCACCCATGTGGAGCACCATTCTCCCAGCCACCCTATTCTGGGAAGTGCTTCTCACCTTCCTAAGGACATCTGTCTTGACTTCCCCTTTCTCCTGCACCATAATTATTTGTTTACTCTCTATATCAACACACTAACATGAATATCTCCCATAAAAAAGAAAACAAAGCAAAAATAAAAAGTCCTATACTCTGTCCTTCTACTCTATGTCCCCTGATAGCTTCTGCAACATTTCTCTGCTTCTCGTCACACAAAGGTCCTCAAAAGACCTGTCCACATTTTCTCCTGCTCTTTCTCTCTTCATTCTTGAATCCGCTCCAATCAGAATTTAACCCTGCCACTCACTCCACTAAAACTGCTCTTTGTCAAGGTCATCACTAAGCCCTGTGGGGAAATCCAATAGTCAGTAATCAATCCCCAGCTTACTCAGTATCTCACATCATTTGAATCATTGATAAACATCCTAGAAACACATTTATGGTTGGCTCTGAGGAGACCACTCCTGACTGTTTCTTTGGCTTTGTGCAATTTCATTTCTCTTTGTTTCCTCCTCATCTTCCAGACTTCTAAACAAAAGAAGGCATCAGTGCTCAGCCCTCAGACACTCTTCTCTAGCACCAGGTGTACTCATTCACTCCCTTGGCCCTGAACACCATGTAAAAGCTAAGGAATTCAGAGTGATCTCTCTCTTGGATTCCAGGGTGGTACACCCAGCTCTTCCTCTGAAATTTTCATATGCAAAATGAAATGTCTACTTTTCACTTTTCCCCCAAACTGCTCATCCCATTTCTGCAAATGACAATTCCATTTCTTCGAGTTATGCAGGCTAACATCTTATAGTCATCTTTGATTTATTTTATTTTCTCATAACTCTGAGCTAAACCATTAACAAGCCCAATTAGTTACCTTCAAAATATGTCCAAAACAGAGTCACTTCTCACTGCTACAGTCTTGATCAGGCCACAGCTATTTTCTGCTTGAATCATTGCACTAGCCCCTGAGCTGGCTCACTGTTATGTCCTGCAGTATCCTCTCAACAGCAATAAGAGTGGCCTGTCAGAATGACCAGTCATGCAAAACCTACTCAAACCTTCCAGGGCCAACAGAAGTTATACTCCCTGGTCCCTGTCACCTATCTGACTTTACCCCTTTATCTGTGCCTGCACACTGTCCTCTTCTCCCTTGAACAGGTCAGCCTCACCCTTGGCAGAGTTTTTTTGCATTAGGTGGTCTCTGCATAGAAATCATGTGATGTACCCTGTCCCTTCCTTTAGTCTACGCTCACCATCACCTCCTCAGAAAAGTATTTGCAGACTTCATGTCCTGTACAGTACCCCCTCCCCATGCTGGCATGCCCTGGACACCTTATTGTGCTGTTCTCCCTAGAACCACCTGCCATGTTTAATTGTTTGTTGACTGTTTTCCTAAAGAAAAAGGTTAATACCAGTGCTGAAAGAATGGGGCTTGGTCTCTTTTGCTCACTAATGTGAGCGAGTGTGTGTGTGTGTGTGTGTGTGTGTGTGTGTGTGTGTCTGTGTGTGTGTCACATAGGAGGTAGTAAAGAAATATTTTGTGAATGATTTTCCAATAAATCAACAGGATGTTAACACTGGAACCTTTATTTGCTCATTTCTAAAATAAAGATAGCTATGCTCATCTCAGAAGGCTGTATATTTGTTTACATACTCAAGATCACACTGATAAGTCATTACTTGGACCCAAATTCATCTTACTTCACTGTTCATATCTCAAAGGGTCACACAAACTGCACCTTTTCTATAATCCTCTGACCCTTCCCTTGGGAATCACCAGAACCTGAAAAATGATAATGGTTCATTTCCTGTGAACCAAGATTAAAGGATCATCCCTTCCACACCATACTCAGTGATGAAAGATTGATATCTTTTCCTTCAAAATCAGAAATAGCCCTGGCTGGTGTGGCTCAGTGGATTGAGTGCCAACCTGTGAACCAAAGGGTTGCTGGTTTGATTCCCAGTCAGAGCACATGCCAGTAGACGGTGCTTGAGAGGCAGTCACACATTGATGTTTCTCTTCCTCTCTTCTGCCCATCCCCTCTCTCTAAAAATAAGTAAATAAAATCTTTTTAAAAATTCTCTATATTAAAAAAATGAAAAAAATCAGAAATAAGACAAATGTGCCTACTCCTACCACTATTATTCAACATAGTACTAGAAATCTTAGCTAAAGGAATTAGGCAAGAAAAAGAAATCAAATAATCAGGATTGGAAAGGAAGAAATAAGATTGTATCTGTTTGCAGATGACATGATTTTATATAGAGAGAATCCTGAAGATTACAACCAAAAACTCTTAGATATAATCAATGAATTCAATAAAGTTTCAGGATACAAAATTAACATATAAAAATCAGTAGTGTTTTTATACACTAATAACAAATACCCTAATAAAGAAATTGATGCCATTTACAATAACACCAAAAACAATAAAATCAGGAATAAATTTAACAAAGGAGGTGAAAAATCTCTACTCTTAATGCTATAAGATATTGATGAGAGATATTGAAGACACAAATAAATAGATATCCCATGTTCATAAATTGGAAGAATTAATATTGTTAAAATGTCAATACTACTGAAATCCAGCTATAGAGTAGAAGCAATCCCTATCAAGATTCCAATGGTAATTTTACAGAAGTAGAAAAAACACTCCTCATATTTATATGGAATCACAAGAACTTAAAAGCCTAAGAAAGAAAATAGCCTAAGAAAGAAAAGCAAAGCA